GAGCAGGGAGCCCGATGTGGGGCTCGATCCCAGGACCCCAGGATCATGACCTGAGCCGAAGGCAGCCGCTTAACCAACTGAGCCACCCAGGTGCCCCAAGAGTCGGCTGCTTTAACCGACTGAGCCACCCAGGCATCCCATCCTCTTTATTTTAAAAAACTAGTTATTTAACAAGTGCTGTCCTATTTTTCTCCATTTTGACAAGCCGACTGTTGAACTTCATTTGGAAATCAAGAAATTGTAGATGTTGGAAATCTTTTGGTAAAAATAGAAAATCTGATTTCCTTGTAGAGGGGATGTATCAGTTTCTCTGGAAATATTAAAGACTAAATAAATGTTCATAATCAGACTTTAGAGTTATGTGCATCAATTATACTTGTAAGAAGAAAAATAGGGAATCACAAATTATTTCAGAATTTACTGTTTCCTCCCTGGTTAGGGGTTGGTGGGGAGGAGTGGCAGTGTTCCAGGGGAGAGTCGAGGAGAATATGTGGAGATGATTCAGTAAGAGCTTGAAGGAAAGTTCTGTCATGGAAATAATACTTTGGCAAGTTTGTAATGTATTAAGTGACTTTTTCCATTTGAAACGGTGGAAATGAAAAAGTAAATAGTTATATTTGGATATTTTATGTTTATTTTGCAGCTTTTCATGCAACACCCAATACTTACAAGCGGAAGAACACAGAGACGGCTCTAGACAACAAACCGTGTGGCCCGCAGTGTTACCAGCACTTGGTAAGCTCACGCGCTGCCTGATCAGAGGGCACTGGAGGAGTCTTGCTGGCGGACTGAAGGCAGCGTGGTACTGTTGCTCCCGTACTTGGCTGTGTACTGGGCAGGGATGCTCACCCGTGCGGGTTCCTTCCCAGCCGCTACGTACTGCACGTTCTAGTCCTTCGTGAATCTCGTATTACTCTATGCCTGTCTGTGTTAATCCCTTCAGCAACCTTCTGAGGCCTTTAGGATCAAGGACTCTTACACCTGCCCCCACGTTTATGAGCGTGAGAAGCACAGGTAGCCCCCTAAGCCCCAGAAGCTCGGTGAGCCTTCCTTAGCGTAGCCCTTCTCGAGCCTTAGACCCATGGTAGTTTGAGTCAGGTGGTCGGTCCCACAGGTTTTGTTTTTTTAAATGATGGAGAAAAGGTAAGGGTTTAGGAGAATATGAGGTAGGAAAGTTGTTTTTTACGGGTACTATCTTATTTTTACCATTTCCCCTCTTTGAACCAAGCCACTCCTACCTAGGAACTAAATGGGTATATATTGCCTGTTGGATTTTGGACAGAAGATTCATTGAATGGCACCTGCAGAAGGTATCCTATTTTTAAGCAATTTGGTTTTTATAGAATGAAGTGTAAAACTGTTGGCTGCTCTCAAACTTCTCCCTTCTACTGCCACTAAAGATGGAATTCTTGAGCACTATTTTATAATACTCTGTAAAGGCAGAATTTTATTTGGCTCATCTAAGATGTTTCTGTGGTCTCTCTATAATCCATGATCTTACTGTTGTTTCATACTCTCTAAGACTGGATTATTGGACTTGCTGATGCAGAATGTAATGCTCACAGCCTTGGTCCTCAGGCTCCTTTCACATCTTCTGGGGGCTGTGCATCCCTCACTGGAAAAAAATGGGATGTTTTAATAGTAAGGCAGGAAGTGACAGAGTCTGGCATGTTTCTCTGTTTTATATTCTTCTTGTGTACTTTAAATATTATCGGAGAGAGGTATCTTAAGAAAGCCTGAAATAGGAAAGTATGACTCTGGATGCACATTAGGTATGATTCTTCGCATAAAAGTTCATACTTAAAGAGATTTATTTTTTATATTATTATTATATTGTTTTAACTTATTACAATCACTTTATATAGTTTGCAAGCTCACAGAATTGTCTTGTCTAATTTCATCCCCTGTAGCACAAAGAGAACGTATATGTACCTTTCTGAAAGTTTTGAACTATCAAAAGCAGATAGAAAGCCAAGAGCATCTAGATATGGAAATGATTTGTAAAAATGGATATTGTGATATATTTATTGACTAACTTGCTTTATGCAATCCTTTTTTTCTCATCTAACAAAACGAGTTGTAGAACTTGACCTTGATGTGTACATTTTTCACTTTGTAGGAGGGAGCAAAGGAGTTTGCTGCCGCCCTCACCGCGGAGCGGATCAAGACCCCGCCGAAGCGGCCCGGCGGCCGCAGGAGAGGCAGGCTCCCCACCAACAGCAGCCGGCCCAGCACCCCCACCATCAACGTGCTGGAGTCCAAGGACACAGACAGTGACAGGGAAGCAGGGACCGAGACGGGCGGGGAGAACAACGATAAAGAGGAGGAGGAGAAAAAGGACGAGACTTCCAGCTCCTCCGGTAAGACCTGGATGAAGGGTGTGGGATGGGTCGTGCACTTTGCTCAGTGGGTTAGTGGGTTAGTTCGGCGTAAGGACAAATCTGAGAGCAGAGATTCCTCAGGGTGTGGAACGGAATTTCTGCCCGCACCCCAACCCGGGCCTGTGAGGACTGCCTGCCCGATTGTTGGAAGGTTGACAATCCCATGTGTTGTCAGGTGGGGTGTCGCTGTCCTTTCTCCATCCTTCTTGGACAGGACATCGTTTGCTTTAATCCGGTGGCTCTTCTGGGGGTAGTTTTGATTAGGAGAGCCCATGGGCACTCCCGACCAGTGTTCTGCTGCTGGGCTTGTCCTTGTCCTTTCAGCCTGTGACTTACACCATGAGTAACAGCGGTAGACCCCCTCAATTTACACTGTTTTAAAGTAAGCTTACACCCAATGCGGGGCATGAACTCAAGACCCTGAGATTGAGAGCCACGTGCTTCTCTGAGCCAGGCTGCCACCCCTCAGCTTGTACTTTGGAAGGTTGTGTTAAAGGCAACCCAACCTTGTGTTCCATGGGAGGCTTGATTGTTTATTCTCAAGATGGTTCACTTCCTGCTTTTTTCTTAAGCACAACCTGAGTTTTACTTTATTTTATTCATTTATTTGAGAAAGAAACAGCATAAGTGGAGGGGAGGGACAGAGGGAGAAGCAGACTCCCCACAGAGCAGGGAGCCTGACGCGGGGCTCGATCCCGGGACTCTGGGATCATGACCTGAGCTGAAGGCAGACATTCAACCGACTGAGCTACCCAGGCCCCGTGGTTTTACTTCTTAATACTGTTTTCCAATTGTCATTTTTTGACCAGTGCTTAACTTTGGTTTTCTAGAAGCGAATTCTCGGTGTCAAACGCCAATAAAGATGAAGCCCAACATTGAGCCTCCGGAGAACGTGGAGTGGAGTGGTGCTGAGGCCTCGATGTTCAGGGTCCTCATCGGCACATATTATGACAATTTCTGTGCCATTGCTAGGCTCATTGGGACCAAAACTTGTCGACAGGTAAGCACGTCTGATAAAATACTGTTCAGGAACTTGAGATAGAGGGAAACCAAGTCGTCACTGTCCAAACAGAAGACCATTCGTGGTTATCCTCCAGCTCCTGTTCATCTCGTTTTTCACTGAGAAAAACGATCCTTCCGACTTGAGGTATTTCGGGGAGTGGATCTACCAAGCCAGGAAGACTGGAGGCTAGCCTTGCGCCTCTTATCCAGAGCGTGGTGGCGGCCGCTCTCCCTGCACGAGGGTCGGGTCAGCGTGCGCTTCCCGCTGTGTCCCCGGCCCGTGGCAGCGCCTGCGCCGAGACGGAGAGGTTTCTGGTGCGGGCGAGTCTCACGCACGGCGCTCAGGGTCCTGTGACTCTGCCTCTTGTCAGGTGTATGAGTTTCGCGTCAAAGAATCGAGTATCATAGCTCCGGCCCCGGCCGAGGATGTGGACACCCCGCCGAGGAAGAAGAAGAGGAAACACCGGTAAGCCTGTGTGCGGCCGGCCGAGGGTCACCGGGGCGCTTCTGCGGCGGGGTTGGGTCGGCGTAGGCACTCGCTCAGCTTTCTCTCTTAAGAGCACAGCAGCGTGCAGTCGACTCGGGGTGTGGGGGGGTCTTAAAAGTGACGGGCACCAGTGCTGCGTTTTCATTAAGGAAACCTAGTTAGTGGCTTCTGCAGGAAAGGCTCCCCTGCTCGGAGATGGACCGAGGATGTGGCCCTGGGCGGGAATCTCGACGGCTGACAGCGCGGAGCCGGCTTTAGTCTAGCAGCCTGACTGGTGTCCATGTGCGGGGGTGCTTGCGGCCTGGTGAAGGTCACCTTCCAAAGAGGCTCGTGCCAGGGAGGAGCGCAGGGAGGGTTTTCAGGCGGACTGCCTTCGGAAGTGCAGAGCCCGAAACCGTGCGGGTCCGCTCTTTCCTCCTGCCCCCATGGTCTCGGGAGAGCAGCATAGTTGGGTAAGGGGTAGAGGACTACACTTCGACCTTGCACATGCTCATGTTCCCTTTATGAAAGGTGGGACCGACTTCATTTAGAACTGGAAGAAAGAACTTAGTTTTTGCCATAGGAATTTAGGCTTTAGTAGATGCAGCTGTTTCTTGGTTGAGTTCTGATCATCCAGCTCCGTGGAATGGCTACAGATGCCTGAAATTAGAGAAACGATACGACTGCAGGCTGAGCCCAGGTAGACGTGGGCCGCCACAGAAAGCCAGGGCCGGAGGGGAGGCGGCCGTGCTCCTGCGTGGTGACAGCTGACCCTCAGACGACATGGGGCCACCTCCATGTGTTTTCTGGTCCTGTAAATAGAGTTTCCCCATATTTTCTTCTCTCTAGCTTACTTTATTGTAAGAACACAGTATATAATATGGATGACATAGAAAATCTGTACTAATCAATCAGTTACCAGTAAGGCTTTTGGTCCACAGGCTGAGTTTTTGGAGAGTCAGAACTTACATGCAGATTTTGGATGGTGTGGGATGTTTGCACCCCAAATCTCACATTGTTCAAGGGTCATCTGTCCTTGGATTCAGAGCGCTGTCAGGTTCGGGGCACACGCAGACCCGTCTGAGTAGCTTCCGTTGATCTGCCCCTGGCTTCACAAACGTGACTTACGTCTTGTGTCTTGCAGGTTGTGGGCTGCCCACTGCAGAAAGATACAGCTGAAAAAGGGTTAGCATCTCTCTGTTCAACTTCATCAACTTAAAAATGTCTACTCGTTTGTTTAAGAATAATAATTGGATTAGTATTTGGGATATTCGTTTATAATTGACTTCTGTACATTAAAGCCCTGGAGACGGAGGATGTCTGCTGATTCACTTCCAGTCAGTCCTCTGGGATCGGGGGGACAGTGCTCGGGGCTCGCCAAGCACGTGGGGGGTGGGAGGTAGTATCTGCCGTCACTCTGTAAACAAGTACAGCGCGGAAGAGCTGCTGCATGCCAGGTGTAACGGGGAGAATATAGTCTTGGCCGTTGTGTTTGATCGCCTCTGGATCTGTCCTTACGCAGACGGCTCCTCCAACCACGTTTACAACTACCAGCCCTGTGACCATCCACGGCAGCCTTGTGACAGTTCGTGCCCTTGTGTGATAGCACAAAATTTTTGTGAAAAGTTTTGTCAATGTAGTTCAGAGTGTAAGTATTTGTTTTGTTTTGATGAATTGCATGAGAATTACAGAGGCTTTTGGTCAGCGGTTTAAACTAGTAAGCCAAACAAGATTTTAGGAAATGCATTTATCCTACAAAGATTTATGGGGCGCCGTAACGGGCTCTGCGCTAGTGGCCAGTGTGTCTGTGGGCAGGTTAGGCGGAATTGGATTGTTTAAATTAAATCATAGTAGAACTGGCACAGAGTAAAGGGCATCTAGAAATGGCTGCCCAGGTCCTCTGGCTACTGGAAATGGTCGGTGCGCTGGGCTCAGAATTCAGCCTAACGGTGACTGGAGACGTTGAACGAAACAGCACAGGCCGCTTGGAAAGCAAGGAAGCGTCTAGAACTCTGGACCCTCAGAAGGGTCACGAACCATGGCTCTTATAAAATGGGTGTGAAGGCAGGCTAAATAAAACAGCTAAATAAAACAGCTCTGAAGTACACGTACCACCTACCAAATACGAAGGGAAAGCCCGAAGCTCAGTGGTGACCGTTCTCAGAAGGGACAGCTCTCACTTCTTGTCCCTCCACGGGTTTACTCTCAGTCTGGGCGGGTGGGGGTGGGGGGACGCGGTGGGGACCGGTGGTGAGGGTTCCGCAGGGTTTCCACGTGACGAGGAATGTCCTTCCGAAGGTCAGAACCGCTTCCCTGGCTGCCGCTGCAAAGCTCAGTGCAACACGAAGCAGTGTCCATGCTACCTGGCCGTGCGCGAGTGCGACCCCGACCTGTGCCTCACGTGTGGCGCCGCCGACCACTGGGACAGCAAGAACGTGTCCTGCAAGAACTGCAGCATCCAGCGCGGCTCCAAGAAGGTTACCCCCCCCCCCGGGGCCACGCGCCGCTGCCCTTAGTGAAAGCCACGGGGCTTCCTGATGGGACGGCGGGAGGTGGGGCGTTATGGGCCCTTAGGCAGTCTTCCATTTGCTACGTGTAAGGTGAACCAGCCCCGAATGGCACCAGGTTCTGGAGAGAGATTTTTCTAGTATGTAGAAGTCGTTATCTAGTCTCCATGTGAGGACAGGGTGTGCCCGTCAGAACTCAGAGACCCGGTTTTTGCACACTTCCTTCCGTTTCTTTAATGACCTTGAGGACACAGCCGGGACCACCACGGAGCTATGGCCTGCGAGGTACAGGCAGGGGACGGTAACTGGAGCCCCGAGAAGGTGATGACCGAGCAGAAGAACCTGCCAGCATCGTTTGGGGGAAGCTCACGGTCTGATTTTAGGGTAGACCCAGGGTTCCTTCTTTGGTTACTAAATGTTAGCTGTTAGAACAGGGCCTGCCCTGTATGACATCATCCTTTCTCTAAGTGCTGTGTGTGTCCGCTTGCTAGTCCTCCTAACTATAACCATGAACCCCAACCCAGGCCTTCTGGCCCTGAACCCCCTGCTGCTGAGGTCATGGCCTGTGTTGCCCATGGGCTGGGGGGGAGGTGGACAACGGACACACGGACGACATTCACATCTTAGGTTCCTGAGCCATCATAGGATGCGACTGGGATCTCGTGCGGGGGCAGTCGTGCCCTCCACCAGAAACTCTGGTCCTGGCAGCAGCTGTGTGTTGGCTGTGATGGGTTCAGGGGTCAGGTGGTTTTCTTATTCTAGGTTGTTAATTTCGTTCTCACGTCCTAGTGATGCTGGGACAGTCCCTGGGGCCCCCCCGCTCAGTCCTCACCATCCCCTTTCTCCCTCACCCCATACTTGTCCTTAAACTCCTCTCTGTTCAGAAACTGTTCATGTTGACACACCTTCTCCTGAAACAGAAGATAACATACTTTTTTACCAACTGGGTTTCATTTAACGGTAGGGTCAGATATTGCTTTAAAGCAAACTGTGGTTTTCCAATACCTGGGAGGCTGGCCCCTCGGTCAGGGTGCTCAGGGCTCTCCTGCCGACAGCGTCTGGTTGAATGGCTGCTTTCGAATGGGGCTGAGGCCGGACAGTGAGTCACCCTGCAGTTAACGTGTCAGCACGCTTTGCCGATGCGATTGAGTGCGCTTTCTTCTCTAGCATTTATTGCTGGCACCATCTGATGTGGCAGGCTGGGGGATTTTCATCAAAGATCCTGTACAGAAAAATGAATTCATCTCGGAGTACTGTGGAGAGGTAAGGCAAGAGTAACCAGTTTCAGGCAGTTTAGTGTATACTGGTCTCATGTATTCGTGTGGGATCGTAGGTAACTTTGTTTTGGGTTGATGTCACTGGACGAGTCTATTGGGTTTGATTAGAAGTGAATTAATAAAAAATGCCTTTTCAGCTTGGACTTAACTCCTGCTTATGGGTTTGGCTTGCTTGGTAAATAGACTGCTTCAGTCCTTGTCACATTTGGCATTTATCATCTAGGGATAAGGTGGGGAACAAGAGCTTTGTGCTGTGGAGTCTGCCCTACTTAATCCACAGCCTAACTGATAAGGATCTAGAAATGACAGTGTCATTAATCATATGCCTTTTTACTTGTAGAGTTAGGGAAAAACCATCAGGCTGGCTTCATTTTGCAATTAACCCAACCAGTTTGTATTTTTTCTTCAGTGAAAAGACTTTTTGTTAATCACTTTCTGCATCCTTTTGATGTGGAAATGTTATTTCAGTGAGTTGAAGTCCTTAAAAGATACTGGTTCTAAATACCATCACGCAGCCTGAGACCAGCTGCAGGGACGGTGGTTGGGGTTCCTCATGAAGGTCTCCTGAGGAGCTTGTGTGTGTGCGCCTGCCGGTCTCGATCACCTAATCCAAAACAATCTTATCCTCTGCCTTCCTTTTTAGATTATTTCTCAAGATGAAGCAGACAGAAGAGGGAAAGTGTATGATAAATACATGTGCAGCTTTCTGTTCAACTTAAACAATGGTATGTTTGACCTGAGGCCATCCGGGAGCCCTCCGCTGGTTGGAGTCTGGACGTGAAGGTGGCGGGGGGGGGGG